TAATTTAGATGAAAGAGTGTTAGTTTCTTATCTCGGGATATCAAGGACTTAGATGTTCTGATGTTCATGATCATCTTATGCTCTATTTTCGCCAAGAAAGCATGAAAAAAATGTAAATTAAAAATATTTTTTTAATTAAAAAATACTTAATATAAAATTTAATCGATGTCTACTAACAATATAAAAATTATTATATAAACTTGTATAATTATCATTTTAAAAGTGATATGTAAAATATTTTTTAATTGGTTGATACCGTATTATTTTTTTTTATATATCATAATTACAATGACAACATGAGAAATAAAATCTAAGACGTAATGAATATTATCTCAACCTCTTTATTACTACGTCAATTCTAATTATCTTAATAGTTTTTGATGGTATAATTATTTTTTAAAATATATCAAAATTAAGCTATTATTATAAACATAATATATTATTGAAATTTATTTAGTTATTGTTATTATTTCATATATTTATATGTACTACTATAAAGGTCAAAAAATATAAAATAAAGTTTAAAATATACAATTTTTTTGTGAAGCTATCTTACGTGAATAGGAATGTGACATAAAATTAATGATGAATAAGGATAAGGATATTATTTTAAAATATCCGTAGCAATCAAATAATGAACTGAATTATGGATTTACTTTGTAGGATGTGATCTATAGAGTAGAATATATTATGTAAGAGTCTTGGCTTAATTTTAAATGCAATAATCCAGTGGCCTATGTGATGTGTATATCCTTTGTTTGTTAGTCTCCAAACTTAGCTCTCAGCAGGATCCGATTCCACGAAGAATGACCAATATATAAGAAATGGAATAGGATGGGTTGATTCTCTGATTTTGGGTCATTGATGAAACATTTAAGACGTGATATCTTTGAATTTGTAAGCTTTCAAGTTTCATCAATTCAAATGATGAAATGAATCATAAAGTAATCAAGATTACGAAAGCGATATCCTCGTCAGAAAAGATGGAGAAGTGAAAGTAAGACCTTTTTTTTTTCTTCTTATTTTTGTGGTGTTGAGTGGACAGTGAAACTTGCATTGGGATCGATTTGATGATTGAATTGGGTAGGTGGAGCCCAATTTCGTACCCGCAAATTGAGAAAACGTAGTTTGGGCCCACGGGCTCGAACAGCCCATATGGACGTTTGTACTGAAAAATGAATTGAAGTGCCCTCTGGCCCCTCTTTTCTTCACTCTAATCACACTGTTGTTATCTCTAATCACTATTGCTCATTGGCTTCTTGCTTTGCAACATGAGCCTACAAAACATCGTAGGTACTTCTAACCTTTGATGCTTTGAACATGTCACATGTCACATGAATCAAAATTTCTAACACAGCACTCCGGACATTCTGTCTTTAGATCACGCCTTACACTTGAATGATATTGTTTCTTAATTTATGGTAAACGCACACTTTTTAAGACAAAATTGTAGTATAAAGTAAAAAAAATTCTATCAATCGTCTTCACTTATGCAACGTTTTTAATTAAGGTTAATCTAGATGCATGTTTGGATTATCTTTAATAATTGAAATTAACTTTAAATTCATTATATCCGACTTTAAATGAATAAGACCTAATACGATTTCTTAATAATTAATTATGACAGTTTCAACCACTCCAATCAACCAAGTTTCAAACAGTTATTTAATCTAAACTTTTATTCTAAAAAATATTTATTTAATTGATTTAGATACTTCTTCAAAATTACTCTGAAAGATATCAAATTCTTTGGGACTTCCTTTTAGTTAATTTTTTTTGTCTGATAAATGTCAGTCCATGTCTTGGGATAAAATCACAAACAAGGTTGTATACGCTTCTCCTAGAATCAAAATGGTCAAATTTGAATGTGTTTAATTAATTTTTATATCACCATGAAATGAAATCTTATAAAAATTTGAAATAAAATCTTATCTCCATCCAAAATGACTGTAATTTTAAAATTTGAAAGAAAAAAAAGTCTAAAATAATCGATACTCTTAGTTTTCAATGTAACATTACCCTCTCATAAGTTCTTTCATCACTATACTTGAAAGTCTTTTAATGCATTTATTGTTGTTATTAATTTGTGTTTAAAAACTTTAAAATCCAGTTATTCTAGAACAAAGGGAGTAGTATGAAATTTGTAGTGATTATTACTGCTTGAATGAGTATATCTTTCTTTCATGTATTAAACTCCTAATTAATGAGCAGAGAACTAATACTGTATATTTTTGTAGTAAATAATTCAGAGAAAATAAATTTTTCATCTCAAACACCTGATCAATTGTTCATTAGTTTTCTACTTTTTCTTTCAAACAAAGGATACCTTGATTGAGATCTAAAAGTACAGTAAACAAAAATAACGCCAGAAAGAATCAAAATCCACCTATCAGTATCATCAATCTTTATTCTTAATGATAGATAGATCATAGATCCTGCTCCTGCACCGGCTAATTAGGTTCACTTCAGAATTGATACCTCTTTTTGGGTACAAAATTTATAGCTAATTTTCAGAGGGAATTTGCGTTGCGTGCTGAAAAAAGTAAGTTAAAAAAGAAAATAAAATAAAAACACACTGGGGAGATTTGGTAAGTAATGATGACCATGATGCATGATTTGGGAAGATTCCGTTGTCAAACTGTTTCTAATTTATATTTTGCATTTTGATTAACCAGTCAAAGTTCAATTTTGGGTGGAAAGGACCGATAATGAGATGTTGTTTTCTTTGGGCTACTTGTAGTGGCCACAACATCAATTACAAAACTACCTTAATAAACCAAAAAGACAACTAACTTTCTTAACATCATTTCCTCTCAACTTACGTGACGCCATATCCTTATTAAATGTTAATACAGTATCAAAAATAAAGTATACCTTTACCGTGATTTTTAATAATGAATAATGGTAATCTAAGTAAAATTATCATTTCTTTTAAAGAATGTTATTTATATGAAAAAATATTTATACACCTCATCTTATGGACTGTGAGACATTACATTGTTGGTAATTAATAATCAGTTGAAATATTTCTTTCATACTTTGAATCGTGAGAAAAAAAAAAAAAATATATATATATATATATATATATATATATATATGATACTTTGTTTTAAAGAAGTTGTTGGAATGTAAATAAAATTTCAAAACATTTAAATAAAATGATGGATATGAATTTATATATAAATAATTATTTTTATTAAAATATAATCGAAAAGAGTAAATTTAAATTAGATAATATCTTATTGTTCCGGCCAAAGGGTGAACTAGAGTTTTTTCCTAGATCGCGCCTTAGAGCCAGAGCATTCAAAAGTGTAAATTGTCCCCTCAACTCTAAGGTTTTTGGGTTTTATAGTTTCTTGTTCATGGGCCTTATGGGCCTCGAGAATGTAGAGATCTCTTTAGCCGTTCTAATCTGGAAATACTTGGTGAGTGAAGGTGGGACCTCTCCATTGCCGAGTGTCCAATCGAATAATGACCGAGTAGGCCTTTATGGGTGAGTGAGATCAGTATCTGGTTGACGTGGCCCAAATTGGTTATATGCCGATTGACTCTAAGAGGGTGAGTCGACCAAGGTTACAGTCGGGTGATCAAATGAGGGGAGATCAGGTCGTGAATCGGCCTGGGCAGTGCACGGGTTTATAGTCGACCTCACATGCATAGTAGCCCTTATAGTCCGCGATACCAATCGGCCTACGGCCGAGTCCGCGATACCAATCGGCCTACAGTCGAGTCGGCGATACCAATCGGCCTACGGTCGAGTCGGCAATATCAATCGGCATACAGCCGAGACGGTCCACTTGCCCTCTACTTGCCCTCCAGCCTTGAGCCTATAAGGCGAAAAGACTTAAGGTGTAGTCCTTATAGTCGGTGATACCAATCGGCCTACAGGAGACGGCCCACTTATCAATGCGAAGACATGTATGTATATGATACCATGGATCCACAACAGAAGTCAACTATCCTTTTCAACGCAGAAGTAGGAGTAGTTGTTCAAAATGATTATTATTATATCCTCTGCTTTTTGCTCTCACATAACTTGAACCGTCTGGAAGCAGAGATTTTGGCATCACAGCATATAAGGTAAGAGGAAGAAGACATGAGCGAAGCTCCACAGTTACGCAGAACATGCGACTATTGTGGGGACTTGGCGGCTCTCTTATATTGCAGAGCCGATTCTGCCAGACTCTGTTTCTTCTGCGACCGCAAAGTTCACTTCCCCAACCAGCTTTTCTCCAAGCACGCGCGCGCTCTGTTATGTGACGCGTGTGGCGATTCCCCTGCCTCCGTCCTCTGTTTTTCTGAGGACTCTGTTCTGTGCCATAATTGTGACTGCCAAAGCCACAACCTTTCGCTGTCTCCTGTGCACCAACGAAGGACCCTCCAAGGCTTCTCGGGGTGCCCTTCTGGGACTCAGTTGTTGGGAATTCTGGGTCTCACTGAAAAATCTCTGCTTTCAGCAGAGGGAAGTTCCCAGATTGAAGGCCTTTCGGATTTCCACGTCTGGACTGATCCTTCTGCTGTTGGCCTTGAAGATTTGATAACAGACACTGCTTCGTCTCACAAGGTGTGTGCTACTCTTTACCTTAATTTTGTTTCTTTGGTTGTGGTGAAAACAGAAAATGTAACTGAATTATGTAGTATGTACTATGGTTATCGGATAATCATATCTGTTAAACATGGGGTGTCTATTTGGATATAAATTTAAAGTATTTTTGAAATATTTTTATTGATTTTTTTTTTATTTTCCGTAAAAGAGATTCTTTTAGACTTATATTCAAATAAGATATTTAGTCCTAGGTTCATGTATACACGAAAGAATATTTATTAGAATAGATTGATCTTGAAAAAGATTGGTCAGTCACTTTATTCCTAAAATGTACAAGGTTTATTTTGTTTTCTAAAGAAGTGAAGAGGAGTTCACTTTTTTGATCCATTTTATTTGGAAATTGGTATTTTATTTTATGTGGGGCTGGAATTTTTTGGATTATTTATTTATTTAGGCTTTGGTTAATTGGTTTCGGGGGATTCTAGATTCTCTGGGTGCTAAGAAGCGCACATTGAAGATCCTTGTGTAATTGTACGATTTTGACATGTTTGAGGATATTGTTATTGAAACAGAATCGCAAGGGTGCGTGCGGGAGACAGAAAGAAGAAATTGTTAGCCAGCTCCGTGAACTGATAAAGGTTGAGGCCGACTTGGTTCATGAAGAAGTAGATGCCGAACAACAACTACAACTTGGAAATTTGTCCACTGGTTTTGAACGTGACATAGATGCTAATGTGTTTCCTTCATACGAGGTAAAGCTTATAATACATGCATTACTTTTAAGGGGTAAAAAAGAGTAGCACGTGGTGAAATTCCCAAAATATGCAGGCAGGTGTGTTCTGTTGGCATGGAGAGAGTAGTGATCCTACGAATCAAATTGTTCCATCTGATACGCCACTGCGAGATTTTGGCGAGGTAGTTCCAGATAAACATACAAGTTTCACCATCCCTGGGACTCACGCCAATTTTAACGACCAAGGGAAACCATCAAATTCGTTTAGCGCTGAAAACATGTCTCCTGCTCCTCCTAAAGCTACCCCATATGAGTTAACAAGTCATGAAAGAGATTCAGCATTATTGCGATACCGAGAGAAGAAGAAAACCAGAAGGTATTTATTATTATTGCCTCCTTTGCTTCCACATTTAATGCACTAGTTGGTAGTACAGCGAGGCATACTTTACTGTCTTTGGAAAATAGTTGGTGCATTGATACTTTTGGTTTTACAAATAAAATAAATGTGTGTGATGATTGTTGTGTATATATAAACTTGTATGAGTATTGACATGCATCCTTGACTTGGAAAACAGATATGACAAGCACATCAGATACGAATCACGAAAAGTTCGGGCAGAAAGCAGGATGAGAATTAAGGGTCGGTTTGTGAAAGATGAAACACAAAAATAACACCTGCATGGCTGCATTCATGTAATTCTCAGCTTTGTCATCAGCCAGTGGGGTTAGGCGTTTCACAACTTAGATTCAAATCTTTTACCATTTCTTGTCTCAAACTGAGCTTTCTTGCTTTCACCCTTCTTTAAAATTACCTCAATACCCAAGGGGTCAAGAGCGTTAATCAAAGGAACAAGAGCCACTATAATTTTTCCAGCTAAGTACCTTTGTAAACATTGCAATGCAGTTAGCATAGTAAAATGCAAAGCACTTAAATTAGTTTTGTTCTTTCGTTTTTTTTTTAATTGCTAGTTTATATATTTAAAACAAAGTCTAACATAGTTGGTAATTTTTTTTGGTGTATTAACACACTTGGAATATAATTAGATTCTTTAAGCATACATGAGTTTGATTCTTGGTCTAAATAAACTAAAAAATAATCGTAACAAAACTTTTTAGCTTTTAAAAACTAAAATAAACTTGAATTATTAATTAGTTTTTGAAAAGTACTCTTAGTTATGAGTTTAATAAACATTAGATAGAATACTATAATATTAGGTGGAATAAAAAAGTGTATATATATATAACTATAATTCAAAGATTTTTTACGCCTTCATCATATAACAAATCAACGTGTATAATATATTATTGATATTTACAAAAAAAAAATTAAAAGTCAAGCATACTATGAATTTTAATTCATTGTTAGGGTAAAATTGTTTTACATTATTAGTCTATAGTTATTAAACATTTAATTAATGTCTTAAATTACTTTGAAAATGGATAGTTTCTTTTTTCTTTATTTATTAGAATTACAACAAGATTTGAATATGTCATGTAGATATTATTCTAATTTTCTATCATTAAGTCAACTATAGTAGTTTAAAGACGGGGAGTTTGACTTTGCCTCTCTGTACATGCATAAGAAATAAAAGTTAAAGTATTAAACAAATTAATGATGAGAGATATGAAAATTAATAAAAATATTAGTAAAAAAAATAAGCACATGTCTTATTAATATTATGAGTAATTTAAAGCAAAACATAGAAATTCAATATAAATTTAATGCTAAATAAATTAATAATTTTCTTAATTCTTATAAGTTATTAGTTAATGGATGGCTTTTAAGTTTTTTTTTTTTTTTGTCCTTCTTTAAAGTACAAGGGAAAAATGTAAGTTTTTTTTTTTTTTGTCCTTCTTTAAAGTACAAGGGAAAAATGTAAGTTTTTTTTTTTTTTGTCCTTCTTTAAAGTACAAGGGAAAAATGTAAGTTTTTTTTTTTTTTTGTCCTTCTTTAAAGTACAAGAGAAAATTGTAAGTTTTTTTTTTTCTTGTCTCATGTCAATTCAACGTGTCTTCCTCATCCTTATTGTCACTTATATGGTCATTAGCATTGATGTCAAGATATCGCTTGAGTTTATTTTCATCACCTTTATTGACTAATAATAACAGTTGTACTTCTTTTTTATTAACAAAACGAGTCTCTTCTTAGTTACTTTTTTAATCTCCTTTTCCACAAGACAAGAGCTAGAAAACATAGACTATTTTTCTTACGAAGTAACGTCTGTTTGAAATGTTAAACTATTTTTTTTCTTCAGTTTTTCTTCACAAACTTGTAAAGATTCTTGTAAATCATCAATGTTCATGGCCTCTAAATCTTGAGATTGTTCAATAATCATCAAAACAAGATCAACTTTTAAATCATCTGAATGATTGGTATAATTGATATCTATACCTACTTGTTTGAATAGTAATTCTCATATCTCAAAGCATAATCATGGACATAATTGATCTAATTGTCACGTTAGATAATCTTTTTAATAATTCTTCTATACCATACAAAACTTTCTTCAATAAGAAGAACAAAGGAAAATTGGATGGAATAAGATTCCTTTTCTCTTGAAAATTTGCACTTTTTCGAATCTAGAAAATCAAAAGAATTTTGGAATTTTTTCTTGTGACAAATATTTTTATGATTTTGAGATAATTTATTCTTATAACTACTTCAAAACCAACTTTTATTTTATTATCTTTTATTTTTCTTTCTTCTTTTTTACTTCAACCATATTTAGTTTTCAAAGTACTTAGATAATAATAGAAAAAATATAAAAGAATATAACTGTCATTTTTTTAAAAATAATAACTATCCACTTTTTTTTTTTACAAAAATACTTTTTTTTCATAGAGACACGAAGTGTCTTTTTTCCTACTACTAATAAATAAACATCATTTCTATACATTTTCTTGATTTTCTTTTTATCAAAATTCTTTCTCTTTATTTTTTTTTAATTTCACTTTGATTTTTATAAATCGAAGAATATATATAATTAAACTTAAGATCTTTGCATTTTCTTGTAAGCTTGGCATTTGTTTTGTTCTCTGGCTGAACTTTGCGTAGTGTTTCATGGACTTAAGATTATGCAAGATAGAGAATTTTGCAAAGATGTGTTAGTTGAATTTGATTTGACCATCGCAATCCAATTCTTAAATGAAGGGTGCATGAGGTGTCATGCTTACTATTATCTATGCAACAAGGTAGTTAGTATGGCCAATGATATTCCTAGTGTGAAATGTGATTTTGTGCTTAAGGAAGTAAATTAGTTAATTCATGTTCATGTTAAACATGGAATGAGGTTGTCTCATAATGTTCAAGTGTTTGATTGAGATATTTTTACAATTTTCTGAAGTTAGCGGAAAAACACATAAAAGGGAGGGTTGAATATGTGTTTGTGTGAACAAAGGTATTTTAAAATCATTTTCGCAAGAGTAGTGTTCTTCGTCCATTGCACTTTTGAATATCAGACGGTTGTGCAGAGTTTGCTTAACATAAGATCAATGCGTCTGAAGGGTTTATCGTCCACTAAGAAAAATATCTCGTAAAAATATTAATTGAAGTTCTTACATTTTCCTTTTCAATATAGTTTCGTTTAAGGATAAGTATCAGATGAAACTTTCAATGTAATAAGTTTGTCAAGCAAAGTTAGCGTCTTCGTCTAAAAGTTGTTTTAAAGATATATAAACATTGGACGAAGTCTTTCACAAATGTTTAATTAGTAAGGAAGATTTGTGTCTAAGTAAATAAAATAATGCAATCATTTTTATACTGGTTTGCTCAATCTGAGCTACGTCCAGTCTCCTTCAATTGAAGGGTTTCACTAGATATGAAATGAAGTACACAAGTATTGTTGACCACTTTTGCCCCGTTAACTTCACTCATTAACGCTAGTATATTCTTCTCAGCCTCTTCAGGCTAGCAGTGAGTATTATGAACCACCCAGGTTAGAACCACTCATGGTCAATGCCATCTTCACTCATCAGCACTATTCTTACACCACTTCTGGTCCAAGTATTCTCGACCACTCCTAGCTTGTTGGCTTTACTCACCAACGCTAGTATTTTCTTCTCAACCACTTCTAGCTAGCAGTGAGTATTCTTTGACAAGCCCCTCCGGGCTTTACAAGTATACTTTTCCTAGCCTCTTCAGGCTTTACGACTGATAGATGTGTAGTCGAGTTTGAGTGTTTTGGGTTACTCTCACAGAGAGGATACATATATGATCTACACTCACTAAGGTTTTGCTTTCTAAGATGTACACATTTAGAATTCTTTAGTTTACTGACACGAATACATTAATGTACTTTTGACTCTATGCGCACTGTCTTTGGTTTCGTTGAACCATGGGCTGGATATTTCTCTTCTTTACGCTTGCACCATTTCGGGCCAAACAGCCAGCCTCTCAAGGTTTGATGTTGAGACTTATATATAGTCTTGTGAAATCTAGCCATTGTAATTGTCCGTTGAAGCAAATATAGTCGTTCACGACCAGTTTGATCTTCTCATTTAATGCTCAGATTCGTGCATTAAATGTTGCTTCCCGTTCATAGATAATGCATGAAGTTTCCTTGCTCTATTATTAGCTGTGTCTAAATATAGTAGAGTCTTAGGAAACTTTTTGTCCTTTTTTGATCCTATAGTTGTGGAACTTTTGTCCTTGCCTGAAAAAGTGATGTACTTTTTCTAACATATGCATGATTTAGTGTTTGAGCATGCTCTTCTTCTTTCTTTTTCTCTTCTAATAATTCGAATGACTTCGTGTGTTCTTCTGTGAGTGTAGACGATATTCAAATTCTCCTTTGAGGCTTGATTTCTCACATGATTGTGTGACATTCTTCGTTTGCATCTGGTAGTCGATATTTAGTTTAATACTTCGAACTTTGTCTGATCATCAGCGTTTTGACTTTTTCTTTCGTCTTGGTCAACCTTGTATATGGTCAGACTTTCCATTTCTTCTGGAGTTTCTTCTTGGTCGTTTGACCATCTTCCATCTGAGTCTTTATGTGATGTTGCCTTAGATTGTGCTTGGCATGGTCTTGTTCCTGATTTGGCTTGTTGAGTGCTTATGTTGGCCTTTTATTTTGTAACGTCTGATGCTTATGCCTCTTCGTCATTTTACTTGTTCTTATGTCTTTCTGAAACACTAACTCACTTATTAGAGATAACAACATATATTATATTTGTCTCACTCAAAACTTTTTTTGGGAATTTCTTCGTCTGACTTAACATTTCCTTCTTTAGAAGTTGTTAGTTTTTTTTTTTGTATTGGGCCTTTTAAGCCCCTTGTAACAACAACAATATGTGTGTGTCATAACATTTAATGAGTGTAACCTGTCTCTTTAGAGCCTTTCAAGCCTACGTATATTAGTCTCATGCCCTAGATAAAGATTCCTTGCTTTTTGTCTCAATCTCGCAAATCGCATTGTGCCTTTAATGTTATTAATGACTCATCAATCTTATTCATTATGATCGTTATCATAATTTTCCCAAAAATCATGGATAACCAACTAGATTATCATACAAGTGCGTAGTCTCAGTTACCACTTGATGTATCATGACCAAAGTGCGTAATACAACTATATTCTGAGAGTTCTGTATAATATAAAGGACAGGGATCATACGAGTTAGGTTTAATAGGTCTACATTATTCTGACACATCATAGATACTGGGTCCCTCCCCCTTGGCTCAGGCATGAAGGGATAAGGAAGTTGAATGTCATCACACTCTATGTCGGAGCACATAGCCGGCCTAAGTGAGACTATTACAATATAGAGCCCCCAAAACTCGAGCATATAGGTGTAAAGAGTTTGAGTATCATTGCACTCTCCATCGGTGTACATATATGATATAGAGCCCTCGAGACTTAAGCATTGAGGTGTGAAGAGC